TTTCATTTCTAAGTGGGGCAATTCGAGAATGAGTTACTAACAGTGATTTTTTTTTTTTTGCATTTCTTGTGGCTCTAGAGTCCTCATATACAGTATATAAATATATATTGTGATAGACACAATTTTAAAATTAAAATCATAATGTACACAACGGTCAACTAGTGACAATGGAAAGAGGGAAAGCCCAGTCATTGAGAGGAGTAGTGAGAGCATACAGTTAACTAGAAAGTACAGGAGCAGAGAAAAGTGAGGCAACTTTCGTTCCAAATGATCCACTTCTCTCAATGCTCTTTTAATCTTAAAAACTATGTGTATATATAAAGATGTCTTCTTGCTTTGCATCAAATGGCTTCAGTACAGGGCTTGGAAATTTGCATTTTGTAGCAAAAGAATGCTATTCTCAGCATGTTTATTTCAATTCCTCTAAAATTTGGATGAGTTTGTACCTTTCGGAAACAAACACCACATTTATTTCAAATGATCCATTCAGAGTACAGCTATGTCTTGACCCAGTCCATGTTTAGAATATTCCCCCTAACTTGCTATTATTAAAGTTGGAGCTCAGCAGTGTCCATACAAAATATAAATTAAACCACAGTCCACTTTTGACAACACACAAGGGTTTCTCTATGTTCAAGTTCTTTCTAAAGCTGTATACCTTTGAACTATTGCTCTATGTTAAAAGACATACTGTAGATGAGATAGTGAAAATAGGATTATAATTATTCATGATATACATAGTTCTAATTATATTTTGGGTGCTTGAATGCATCAAAACGGTATAGAATTGACTAGATGGTTAATGTAATGCAATATAATACTAATGTAATGTAATATAATACAATAATAATATGATATTATAATTATATATTTTATATTACATGTAATATTACTAATAATATTACAATATGATGGTATAGTACAATATGTAATATATTACTATACATTATAGTAATATATAATACTGGTATTGTACTATGCTAATAATATAATATATTGTATGTGTATATATATAGCTTGTAAGCCACTCTGAGTCCTCTTTGGGGTGAGATGGGCGGCGTATAAACATTGTAAATAAATAAATAAATAAAAACATCATTACCGGTTTCATCTGTGTTAGGTGATCAAACAGAAATGGTTAATAGTGTTGTATTTCTAGTTTTGAAAAGCATTAATCTGATATTTAGTCAATATAGATTTCATCTTTTAAATTCATTCATGTATTTTTTTAAAATGTTGCGGAATAGTTGACCAACATATATTATAGCATAAACTCTTCTAGCTTACAGCTCAGTTCAACATATATATAAAATGTTGTCCAGAGTTTTGACAAAAAATACAATACACAGAACTTAAGCGCATGATCGGAGGCAATTCATCCAAAGTACAAAGAAGTACTGGCACTGAGAGGTATATTATGAACATAACCTGTTCATAAAAAGCACTGCTTTTAGCACAACTATCGTGTCCCAGTTATCATCCCAGTTCAAGTGTTTGATGATGGAGTGGAACTTCAAGCTGCCTGCTCTATGTGACATTTACTATCCCCACACTTACTACGGTATATTGCCAGAAAACATCACTGTTTATTTCTTAAATTTAAAATTCAATGGATTAAAAACAGATATGGTGTTTTTTTCCTATTGTGAACACCTATGTAATTTGTCTTGATTGATGACTTGCCCTTTTTTTAAAAAAAAACTTGGTTTATGAACTGGAAGTTACATGCAAGAAGTACAACAGCACTTATTTTATTATTATGTTTGAACATTGGAAATTTTATATACAGGGTTAGTCAAAATGAATAGGCCAATAAGAAAATTAATTTTAGACGAATGTATGTTTACTGTAACCAAACCACAGCTACGTAGCGACAGATAAACTATCAAAGTTTTTTTTGAGCAACACACATGTACGTTAATGCCGCTAGGCGTCGCTAGGGGTCGCTGTTTTCAAAATGGCGGAATCAAGCAAAGAGAAGGCGTTTTGTGTGATGACATTTGCTAAAACAATGTCAGTAATTACGGTCCAGCGAGAATTTCAAGGGTTAGGGTTAGGGTTAGGGTTAGGGTTAGGGATAGGGATAGGGATAGGGTTAGGGTTAGGACCTCAACGAACACCTTCCCAGACGTTGCTGCATTCGATGCCATTACGTCGGATGTGCTGCAACGGATGTGGAATGAACTGGACTATCGCTTGGACATCTGCCGTGTCACACGGGGCGCCCATATCGAACATCTCTGAAGGTGAGACAAAACTTTGATAGTTTATCTGTCGCTACGTAGCTGTAGTTTGGTTACAATAAACATACATTCGTCTAAAATTAATTTTCTTATTGGCCTATTCATTTTGACTAACCCTGTATATGCTTAGTGATACACAGGGTATTTTTAAAAGATGGGCCCATTTCTCTGCAATATGAATGAAACCACTTGAGCATTAAAAGATTATCACTAGATGCCTCTCCCAGTGCACAAATAGCTCCGAGCCTCAGTCATTTGCAAGATGCCAACCCCACAACATAAGGGCCTATGATTTATTATCCATTTGCAAAGTTGGGTTTAGATTTGTTTTTGGTTCAAAAGAAGTTAGCAAAACTTGATAATTCAGTAAACTATTTGTAACTTTATGTGTAATTGGAAAGTGTCATCATCGTGAAATATACTGCTTTGAAATTGGGTCCATCACTTTGAAAAACCCTATATTACATGCAAACTTTTGTACATTGTGCAGAAGCAATTAAAAATAATACTTTCCCAATAGAAATTATCCCCCCCCCCCAAATACAGAAAGATCCAGAAAAATGTGTGTATACAGGACAAAGACTGGACACATAGCCAGGTCTTACTTTGTTGTAGCATGTCTTGGTGTTGAAAATACAGGCTGCTTTTTCTGCTAAGTAGAGTGTCACGCTAGCAAAGGCTAGCGCTGCATCAAAAAGAAAAAAAAAGCCTCAGCTGCACCTAGCTTTTTGCTTTAGATGACATTCCACAGAGTAAAAATGTATCAAGGTATTACATTTGTGTTAAGATACTTTTATTTTTCATTTCACAGCAGTCCCCATAATGCTGTCAATAAATATGCAAACAGTAATCACTGTAAAAACATACAAAATAATTGAAAAAAACTTTTTTAAAAACACGATGGAATGTACATCAAATATAATAGCATCGTTAAGTGTATGTTCAAGCAAGAAATGTTCATATGATCTCTGAACATTCTCAGTGAAGTAAAGAACTAGATTTCTTTAGAGCAGAACTTTCCAAACTATGTTGTGACACATTATTGTGTCAGCTGCAGTGTGTAGGTGTGTCATGCGAGCTTAACATGAAATGACAAAAATCATGGAAATGTGTATTATTACCTTACAAATAATATATATTATTTATATAATATATAAATTTATAAATATAAAATGTCTTCAGACATGTTGTGTTCCCATACATCACGTTATCCTGAAAATCTTTGCAGCTGGAGAACTTAGGAGAGGCTTCATCTCTTTCCTTTCTCATTGAATTTGTTTGATATTTGTGACCACATGTAATACCTGACTAAAGTCTAGTCGTGTCTGACTCTGGGGGGTGGTGCTCATCTCGATTTTTAAGCCGAAGAGCCAATGTTGTCCGTAGATACCTCCATGGCCATGTGGCCAGCATGACTGCAAGAAGCACTGTTACCTTCCTGCGGAAGCGGAACCTATTGATCTACTCAAATTTGCATGTTTTCAAACTGCTAGGTTGGCAGAAGCTGGGCCTAATTGCAGGAGCTCACCCCACTTCCCAGATTCGAACCGCCAACCTTTTAGTCAGAAAGTTCTACAGTTTAGCGGTTTAACCCACTGCGCCCATGTACTTGTTCATTGAAATATAGACTTGATTTATACAGAGAAAAGAGAAGATGTTGAATGGGCTGTCACCTTGACACAATAGTAGTAAAATTCCCTTAGTCCCTCCACCCCCAAAAATGTGTGTGTGTGTTTTCATCCTAAAGTGAAATGGAATGTCCAGTTTATTTCCTTATTGGGAAAAAAATCTTTCCTGGGTCTAAAATATGGTAAAATTGCTCCTATTAAGGGGAAATAGAAGCTATTTTAATTACATTTTTCCCAGTGAAAGGGTTAAATATTGGGGTGGCGACCTTTCATTATTGTATTGAGATCCAGTGTAGCCTCAAACCTTGTAGCAGTTGATGATTTCTAAATATCTTTCCATCCTTCATAAAATAACTTGTTAACATAAGGTTCTAAAAACGTATGTTGTGCTACTTGTGAACATGGTTCCCAATAGAAACCTTGAGTTTCATCTGATTTTAGATACTGTTGTAGGATTGTTTGTGGGTTCCTCTGTCACAACGTTAATGAAGCTCAGTTTTGAAGTTTTGCACACATCAAGTTTACTTTCTTTGCACTGTATTCAAATATACATGGGGATTTATCTTTCCAGTGCCTTTTCTAATTACATTTGCCGCTATACATCTACCTTCTTGTGGACTGGTTTTCATTATTGTGACATTTTTAAAGGTAATGACAAAGCTAGCAACAGACTCCATAGTCTGAAGTTTTGTATTGTCCTGTATGAGTCTGCCTAAGCTTTAATGTTTCCCAGGGAGTTTTTTCTCCAGGTTTTTCTTTCCAAGTTCTGCCACCTTCACACATATTTGCTGGTAACATGCAGAAGCTGATTGACTCAGACTTTGAAACTCCCCTCACAGGGAGGCTAGAAAACTTTCTTCCTTGCTGTCCTGCTGTGAGCTGTTGAAATAAATGGCTTTAATACAATCATTTTACATATGTTTTTTTATCTTTGTTTTAACTGTTTTGTGCCACCTTGAATCCCAGTTTTGTGAAATGCTAGGCTATAAGTGAATTGAAATTTATCGTTATGAGATAATACCAATCACTAATATTATCATTGTGAAGAGGTACATTGTTTGTAGTGAGAGAGCTGTGCTCAGAAGGGTGTGATTGCTTATTTTTGTCATGTTTTCATTTTACCTTTCAGAAAATGCTGGGACAGAAGAGATGATTGTTAATTTACACTGAGGCCTGGAACTGCCTATTGAACAAAAGCCCTGACCAGGCAACATACGAATGGCCCAAGGAAGTCAACAAATTGATTTTCAGGTTTTACATGACCTGCGCCAAAAGTTTCCTGAGGTACCTGAAGTTGTTGTGTCCAGGTGCATGTTACAGGTCAGTGCTATGTTGTTACTGTAAGCACTTCAGTGTAGTGTAGCTAGTTCAGATTTTTGGCAAAGGCTTATAAAGTTTAGAAAGACTTTCTATAATACTTGTTGTTATTCCATTCCAATAGTTATTTTTTCTTTTTTGTATTCTTTCACTTTGTTTGTCTGTCAGGTTCCACAGTCTTTTAAATACCATTTTAAGTTCACCTTTTTTTACTAAAAGACGTCTCCAAAATTACCGTATATTCCGGCATATAAGACGACTGGGCGTATAAGACGACCCCCAACTTTTCCAGTTAAAATATAGAGTTAAGACAACGCCCATGCATAAGACTACACCCGCGTATAAGACGACCCCTGACTTTTGAGAAGATTTTCTTGGGTTAAAAAGTAGTCTTATAGGCCAGAATATACTGTAGGTGCACATTAGATTTGCATAATATGACAATCTTAGTGCTGAGCCAGAGACAAAGGGGAAGTTGCTTCAAGTGCTCCTATTTGAGAGACACCATCTCTCATTTAATTGCCATGGCTCAGTGCTATGCAATACTGGGATTTGTAGTTTGGTGAGACATCAGTATTCTTTGGCAGCCCCATGATCCCAAACTACAGCCCCCACAACCCCGTAGCATTGAGCCAGAGATGTTAAAATGGATTCATTCTATAGCAGAGATGCTACTTGGGGGTTTTCTTTTCCATTGCTAAAATCTTAAGTGTTCCAACACTTTGGTTTGTAATGTACTTTTTGCCACTGTGCATTATGTTCGCCAGCAAATACTTCGTTTTGGTTTCAGGGTTTTTAAAATTGGTGTGCTCATTAGATTTGATGGTGCATTAGACTTGAGTCAATATGGGTATTTGTGTTTATGTGACCTCAGATATTAAGAAGCATACAGAGTCACTTGTATGAAAACATCATATGAAGTATTTACCATTTCCATCACTTCATTGTATGTGTTTTTGGTCTGGCCTCGTGCTAGAGTTTGCCATTAGCAAAGTAAAGATTTTCTGTATATATTTCAGATTTCAATATTAATGTCAAAAATAAGTAGTATGATTTTACACAGGATTTATGCAGAGGTACCTGTTTCTGCAGGTACCTCTGCAGTGGCAGCCATAGGGTGCCTTGGGATAGGATGAAACTGTTCTCTGTAGCTTTCCTCCATTTTCTGTCAGTTTAGTCATGTTCCTCCTAAACTCCAACATGGGAAATGGGGTGCCTTAGCTACTCATGTCTATGTATACCTATTTCCAATATGCTCGTTAAGTAGAAATAACTATTTAGAAATACTTATTTGTCTCATTAACATGAATTCTTATTTTCTTGGTTTGGAATGCTTCTTATAATTGTCTATGCATTTAAAAATTGTTTTAATTAGTCTTTTGAAATAGCATGTTGCTGGAAGTTTGCTACGTCTTTATGAAATGCCAAATTGTTTTTTCTTCAAAATGAAGACATTTGAAACATATATCTAGCCAAAGATGGTGTGTGCACACACTTCCCTCCAGACCCAGGAGTGTGGATTTCCTACTATATTGAGTAAACTCATAGTCATATAGAGCAAAGAGCATTCTCTGCTGTGCCCATCCCCCTCCGTCTCTCATACAGAAACATCATGCTCTGAAACTATCAATACTTGTTATTTAATTGTACTTCTCAAATATTAATGTTATTATTTCTCAACCATTTCAATAACAATAGTCTTAGTCAGTAAAGCAGAGGTTTACACAATTGATTGCTTGTGAGTGTATTGTTTGTCCAAAGTCCTCCTTTCATCCCAGCCAGAAAAACAAAACTATTCTTAATCTTATATAGCATGTTTTTCTCCTTCTCTCCTTGGTTTCCCCCCATTTTTAACCCTGTCTTCATATAGCATGCTTTTGAAATTTGGTGTTTCATTAAATTTTAGAATTAAATGTGTTGAAACCATTTGATGTCTGTTAATACTTATTTTTGCAATTTCTTATAGAATAATAATAACTTGGATGCCTGCTGTGCTGTTCTCTCTAAGGAGAGCACAAAATATCTCTACGGTGAAGGAGACATTGGTTTTTCAGATGATTCTGGGATTTCCAGTCTGCGAAATCACATGACATCTCTTAATTTGGATCTACAGTCACAGAATGTGATTCTCCATGGAAGAGAAGGGAGCAGAATGAATGGAAGTAGGACTTTAGCGCATAGCATTAGTGATGGACACCTTCAGACCAGCCAGTCCAACAACGAACTGTTTCATCATGAACCGCAGACTGCTCCAGTGCAAGTTCCACAGGGATTTTTTGGCATATCTAATACTGTTAGTACTTCTAACCCAGGGCAACATTTTGGATTTCACTTGGGCAGCAAAGGAACACCTGGTTTGGTTCAACAAACACCTAGATTCAACCCCATTATGGTAACCTTAGCTCCAAATATTCAGCCTGGTCGGAATACGCCTACGTCTTTGCACATACATGGTGTACCTCCATTAAATCATCCACAAGGCAATTCTATCTATATTAGACCTTATATCACAAATCCAAGTGGTACAACTCGCCAGAGTCATCAAAATCCTGGCTGGACGTCTCAGTTTAATCCTCTGCATTCTCAACAAAATTACCAGCCTTCACATCCAAATCCCTGGACAGCTGTTCCCACAACCAGTTCCTCATCACATACCTCATCACAACAAACAGCACAGCCAAACCAGCAAGGCCATCAGACCTCCCACGTCTATATGCCTATAAGTTCTCCTACAACTCCACAAGCGCCTACAGTTCATTCATCTGGTAGTTCACTATCTTCCTCTGCTCAGAGCCAATACAATATTCAAAATATCTCAACAGGACCTCGTAAAAATCAAATTGAAATTAAACTTGAACCCCCACAGAGAAACAGTTCTTCTAAACTGCGTTCAACTGGCCCTCGTTCATCTTCAAATTCCTCTTCCAATAACAGCCAGACTTTATGTAGAAGTCAGCCTACTGTTTACATAGCTGCCAGTCCACCAAGTACTGATGAGATTATCACACGAAGCCAGCCTAAGGTCTACATTTCAGCGAATGCCTCAACAGGAGATGAGCAACATATACGGAATCAACCCACCCTTTTCATATCAACCAATCCAGGAGTTACTGCCACCTCTAGGAATATGTCTGGTCAAGTAAGCATGGGACCTGCGTTTATTCACCACCACCCTCCCAAGAGCAGAGCGGTGGGCAGCAATGCCACTGCAACGTCTCCCAGAGTGGTGGTAACACAGCCTAACACAAAATACACTTTTAAAATTACAGTGTCTCCAAATAAACCTCCTGCAGTTTCACCTGGTGTGGTGTCCCCAACATTTGAACCAACAAATCTTCTAAACCTTCCTGATCACTTTGCAGAAACTGAAGGCATCCAACACCTTACTGACCCTGTTTTAGCACATGTCGATAGGATTAGTGAGGCGCGGAAACTGAGTATGGGATCTGATGATGCTGCCTATACACAAGGTACTTACTTTCTGACAGTTGTAGAGATGTATGTCTTGTTGTTTCAGTCAATTTATTATTATATGTCTTTATTGGGCAGTCTGCAAAGCCACATTTTAAACTGCACATTTTCTCAAGGTGACATGTTGTTCACCTTCCATTCATCTCTAACTTGTGGCAATCTTAAAGTGAACCTTTCATGGGATTTTGTTGGTACAACTTGTTCAGAAATGGTTTGGAATATGGTTTGATGAACTTAAAGGAAATATGCAGGAGGAAGTGTCTACAGACACTTCCTCTGCATCATCTCAGCATGACATGCAGACTACACGATTTTAACATTTCATGTTTCTAATTATCTTCACTTGACTGAATAAAGAAACCTCTGGTTTCAAAAGCTAGCACAGAGTACACTGTGCCTTTTCTGCTGGTATAGCAAAAGTGATGGTGATTGTGTGCCATTTCATAGAATTTCTGACTTATAGTGTCACAGAGTTTTCTTGGCAAGATTTGCTGAAAGCGAGTTTCTCTTGCTTTTCACTGAAACTGAGAGAGAGTGACCTGTTATCGATTGGGTTTACAAGATTCAAGCACTGTGTATCCTAAGCCATAGTCTAGCACTCAAACCATTATAATACCCCAAGATCCAATACAGGCAATCCCCTGGTTATGAATAAGATGAGTTTTGTAGATTTTTTTTCTTAAATTAAAGTTATATGTGAGCTCGAAGAGGTACATTTTAAAGTTTAAAGTGTCATATTGGATTTCATAGGAGACACCCCTTTAGTATTTGTTTTGCTGCCTATGCTCCTGTTCAGAAGATTTCACCTCACTTTCTGTCGCTGTGATAACTGCATTTTGAAAATTTTGGTTTCTAGTAGAAACAAAGATTGATTATAAAGCTTCAGTGAAGACAATTTTTGCCATGATAACTCGTTCAGAAGTGAACTTCCCTACCTAGGGGTAGATTTCCTTTTACTTCCTGTTGTCTCACCCCCATTTGTAACTAGGAATCATGTGTAAACTGTATGTTCATAACTCCAGGACTGCCTGTACAAGAAATAATAAAAGCAAAGCTATTATTTTAGGGCAAATAGATGGGGTGTTCCCCTCCCAGCCATTGCACTTCCAGAAATACATACTGAGGTTCTGGACAATTGTTTGAATGTGGTAAACTATGTAAGAATAATTTCCTAATTTCAAAAAAAAGATCTCCTGTGGTCTGCAGTCTGCTCAAAGAGGGCACATCTCAGCTCATTCCCTCTTAGCCCATGCAACTCTTCTATTAAGCTTAACCTCTAAATTTCTGTAGACTACATCACACTAGAGAAAAAATCAACTTAAAATCCGGTTTCTGCCTCCTGCAGAATTCTGGGGTTTGTAGTTTAGTGAGGCTTTTAAAGGCTCCACCCTAAACTACAAACCCCAGAATTCTGCAGGATGCAGAAACTGGATTTTAAGTGGATTTTTTTTCTACTATGATGAAGTGTAGCATTTTCATGTATTGAAAGGGGGTACTGTGAGGATGAGGAGGCAAAGAAGTCTATTTAAAATATCTGAGTTGTATGCACCTCTTTGGATCACTTTGAGATTGTACTGCAAAGCTGAAAATGCATTCAGTCAGCTGACTTAGAAAAATGATTTTATCCCATTATACAATTGGCCCTACAAATTCATGGAAATTATGAGCGCAGGCTCCTCATGAAAGTGGAAAAAAACACAAAAATCATAAGTATCCCCAAACATGCATGTTACAGATTCCTTTCCTGCCAGCAGCCCCAGCTTGTACCTCCCTTTCCCCTCTTGCCACTACAGTAGGCCAGCCACATTGTAATACCGTTGTATCATAATCCGGATGCCTATGTTAAAAATACAGTTTGCTTAAGAAGATGTAGAATAAAAAGATAACACATGCATATAAATTGATCACAGTTGTCTCTCTTTAAGCATAAGCACATGCACAAACTCCATAAATGTGATCATGGAGCTCAGAATGGTTCAATATGGATTTTATCTATAATTAATATTACAAGATCTTTGACATTTGTTGAAAACAGGCAGGTGTGACTGCTGGCAAATACCCACACACCAAGGCTTAATAAACATCTTCAGTTTTTTTACCAGTGACAGTTAATATAGTCTTGTCAGTTTCAGATTACTTGTTAATAAGAAGCAGATGTTCAGTGTAGTAGAAAAGTACACTGTGAAGTATGGGTTTTCATCAAAAACAATGACAAACGAGGCTCTATTTGAATTTTCAGTAAAGCATTTTCAAGTGTATTCCATTCTCTGTAAAACAGTGAGTGGATTGTTTTTATTATATTAAATAGCTTTAGGAAAGATTATCTTCTGTAGGTAGCAGTAACTTTAGCAATTTGTTGTCATCCTTCATTTTGATCATCAGTTATTGGAATTTTTCTTATCAATCAGATGAGCCAGAAATAAATGAGTACACCAGTTCTAATGTCCTATTTACAGTGGGGGTTTTTTTCTTTTCTGAACTGACATGCTAATGTGTTTGCCCATAGGATACAACTATTAGTAAATCTGTAACTAGGTCTAGGTCAGAATTTCATACATTTCATGTCTAGTTTGTGGCGATTAGAGCTGTGAACTGACGAAGGAAAAAAACCTTATTTTGGGTTTTGGTTTTTTTTTGTGCTGACTTTTGGAATCAGTAAGAATCTGTTATACTTGAGTGCTTTTAAGCACAACATGACTTCTCCCAAGCCAAGAGAGATATGTTCTGCTTTCTGGAAAGTGCCCAAGCAGCAAGACTTCTTGCTCCTTCCAAGTGTCTGTGATGTGTAGAACAGTTTTGCTCATCTCATTGTGTTGACCAGATACATGGTTGGTGCTTAGTGATCAGCCAAGTGCATTTGTTCGTTACAAATTCTTGAAAGAAAAAAAATCAGATTGTTTGTTCCTTTTAAATGACACAATAATATCACATTTTTAGAGTCAGTGTTGACTATGGGTAAGTGCAAAGATCAAAATACAAAATTAATACAAAGATGTTGAACTCACTGTGAAATTCTTAACATAATCGAATCATTGCCTATATATGTAAGCCACCCTTAGCCCTCTTATGGGGTTGAGAAAGGTGGAGTATACATATGATAAATAAATAAAATAAACTATTTTCTTTGAACAGTGCATATTAAAATGCAACAATTTTGCAATTATTGTAGAAGTAAAGGCTAGTTGTAGCAAATCATCTGGGATTTTAAGAATATCTTATTTCATTTAACAGGGGAACACGAATTGCTAGGCCCAGTAGTTATAGGATAATGCATTGGGAAATTATAGATACACATAAATAAATATTACACAGTTTCCATGTTTTGTTCCTGATGAGAGAGAATAGCTATATGCTGATTACTGAAAGTGAAGATAAGAAAAATGTGCTATTTATTGTCAGCATTTGTATTTATTCAGAAATAAATTAAATTGCGAACACATGGATGTGGTGGTCCTCATTGATAGAATTATTATTTGTGGAAGGAAGCACAGAACAGAAAATTAGTTTAAACTGTTTACGGTCATGGTCCATTAAAGCATAACAATGGAGAATATTTGGCTTTCCTTGCCACCATTTTGGATATTACCCTCCTTATATTTTGGATTTAAACTTCCAATCCCCCCCCCCCAATAGCATGGGCAGTGATAAAGGTTCTGGGAATTGTAGTCCAAAATATCTGGAGAGGCAATGTTTTCGTCCCTAATTTAATGCATCCTAGTTGTTTAAAATCTCTAATGCATAAGTCAGAAAAGGTAAAGGTATGTGATTCCTGTATAATGTCACCAGTAAACAAGGTGAAATAATAAAGTTGAACACCCAAAAATTAGACTACTGCTAAATGAAAAAAGGCCGTAGTAGTAGTGATCTTACATTTTTGAATGAGTTCCCAACTCAGCATGGCAAAGAACTTTCTGTTTTTATGAGACTTTCTGATTTGTTGCTGTCTTGATTTCAGCACTTCCAACCTAACTAGAAGAAATAGAAGGCTTCTTTTTCAAAGATATTGACATACTGGAGCAGCAATAAAACAGAAATAAATTCAGTGGGAAGGAAGGGATCTCACCTTTTTGCCATTTTTACTATTTCAGCAGGATTTCTAGTACCTCTAAAGGTCCTCCTTGGGGTTTACTTCATTGCTCAGCTTTGTCATCCTTGTTAATTGCTGTCATGTGGATGTCTTCCTATGGCAACCCTATGAATGAGAAACTTCCAAGTCACCCTGTTAACAGTAACCCTTCATGGGTCTTGCACTCTACTACCACTCACTGATCCTATCTATCTATCTATCTATCTATTGCATGGTCATAAACTGCTGAACTTCCATTGCTGATGCCGTTCACTGTGACTTTATTTTGTAGTAACCCCTTTACAGCAAACAGAATTCACACCAATCAAACAGAAATAAAGGATATGGAATAAAATAGGGGAACATTTCATAATCAGACAGTATAGATATGGAAAAGTGTAGACAGCAAGGACTAGTACTTTATGAAATGTCATTAAATGACAAAATAGTGCAGATTTTTCTTTTCAGAAAGAATGTATTGAATGATTTCAACCCCGGGTTGCTGTAAGTTTTTCAGGCTGTATGGCCATGTTTCAGAAGCATTCTCTCCTAACGTTTCCCCTGCATCCTCAGAGGTTGTGAGGTCTGTTGGAAACTAGGAAAATGGGGTTTATAATTTCAATTCTGTTTATCATCTTCAATAGTAATAAATTATCCCATAGGAAACTAGGGCGTAATTATGCAAGTAGACCCATTCCATCAGTGGGATTTTCATAAGTACTGCCACACAGCAGTTCATTAAAGAAGTTTTAATAATTAGTGTAAATTGGATTATATTTCCACAATTTTTTTTATGTAGCAAGCAGCTCAGAATGTTTTATGTCCCTGGATGATGATTCATAATAAGTTTGGCATACTTATGTAAAACAAATTCAATTGCAGAACTGTGTTCAGGTTTACTATAGTTGACAATACTTGTTACAAATTGATTACTAAATGTAGCCCTATGGAGGTAGGGATGACCAGGATGTTTGGATCTCATTATCATCTGACAAAAATGTGAGGCATATTAAAAACTACTTTGTAGTGCCACATTGCCAGAAAAGATAAGCAGTGGTGGATAGGCTCTTAGGCAAAAGTTGCCTTTGCTGATTTTTTTTTCATTAAGAAATCTTTGGACCTGAAAACTTCTTAAATTTAATTTTGTGTATTTTCCTATAAAGAAATTGATAGTGGGTTTATGAAGTGGTCACAGATTGAATGATTTCTCAGATTTTACTGAGGAATTGTGTACTTGGTCACGAATGTTAACAATGTCACAGTTTTGAGGAAATCGGTGTGTGGGCTAGTCATGTAGAAATAGTAATCCAACTATTTCAGATAGTGCTGAATGAAAATGCTTTCCCAGCCAAATTTGTTGATTGGGGGGGGGGGCACATTGATCATTTTAAGGGGAAATTTTGGGAAGCATTCGCTGAAGGTGGTTTACTGTTGAGTAATAGTGGCCACCATTTATTCCTCAGAATAGTAAGACATATTTTAAGGGTACACTTTTTTCCTGGACATTTTGGTGAGGCAGTGGCAGGTTTCATGGATAACTGACATTTTGTCCTCCTTTGTTACACTGCATCATAGACATTCAAGGAGGAACATAGTAGCTGCTCATAGGAGCTACATCATACTTCTTTAAGGACAGGCCCTTTCGCTTTCTGGTTTTGCTAACTGGAAAATTGCTCTCTAGGTCAGAAGCTCACCCCTCCTCTCATTAATTTAGGCATTGATTCTTGGCATACAGAGAACCGAAGACCTAAACTTATATTTTCAATATTACATACAGTCCTCTAAAAAATGTGTTAGGTTTTGGGATGAATGAAAATAGATATACAGGTTGAGAATTTCATATCCAGAACTTTGAAATCCAAAATATTCCAAAATCCAGGTTTGGTTTCATTATTTGCCACAGAGTATCATGATTGGTATGTTCATGATTTGGGACATAGAAAGGCAGATAGTATTATCATTAACATTGGACGAGCTGAGCTAAATTCTCTGCAACTGCAGTTTTATGGATTGATTTGTTGGACCAGATTGGATTTGTATATTGATTTTAAATACAAGAGCCATAGCAATTTATAATAAAATTAATAAAACAAATAAGGCCATGGAATATAGAATATATTTTAGAATAAATCAATATAAAGAGAAAAGGGAGAATACACATGGCCGAAAACCCTTCTGAAAAGGTTGCATTAAAAACCAACCTGGGAACAAAGGTTTAAATTTAGAAAACAAAAGTATGAACTCCTACAATCTCTCCTAAACCTATAATTGATTGAATTTGATTTTAAAACTTACTTATCATGCAGAGAAAAATGTTTTATCAAATGTCAGAGTATGGTCTTACAAGAGTCTCCTACAGCAAAATCTTGCCTCTAGGTTTTTCACAGCCCATACACTGCCATGATCAACCTTCTCACTACTAGTAGGAAAGACTGCAAAATGTTCCTGAGAATCAGTATAGCGTGTGTGTATGAGTATGTGTGTGTAAAAGAGACTTTGAAAGCCTATTTTGAGTGAGAGCACTTCTGCCAAGCTTAGGGTAAGAATGTCTTGTTTTTAAGAACTGGGGCAGGATAAATGGATAGGAAGATGGCCTACAGACTGAAAATAATGTATCCATAAAAGGATGCATGGAGTATGTTGGAAACCTGGGTAGGAGGCTAAGAAAGGGAGGAAGCCTGAATCTGACAATAGGGATTAGGTGGTCTGTTTGCCTGCCAATAATCTGGAAAATTGAAGAAGTTTGAGGACTCTGGGGCAGGAACTTATTGGGAGGGTCTAAATTGCAAATTAGTTTTAAGTAAATTGTCAAGACTGCACACTTTTGAAATTCATTTACAGGAGGTTCCAGAAGGCTTGGTGGAACAGTTTCAAATATGAACCTGAGATTGCAGGCTGTCATCTTGATTATTGCTCACATTTTGAAACAACCATGTGATACTTCATCTTGATATGGTCTCAAGTTTCATACTGGGCAAAGCGGGAAATTCTCATGCTATTATTTTGTCTTAGGACTGGACTGTATTAAATCAAATGATGCTGTGAAGGCAACAATACGTTGGTTAAAGTGATGTCTTAATATTCTTCAGCTTTACTAGTACACCAGAAGGCTAGGATGGAGCGACTTCAGCGAGAACTTGAGATTCAAAAGAAAAAGCTGGATAAACTAAAAACAGAAGTCAATGAAATGGAGAATAATCTTACACGAAGGCGGCTGAAAAGATCAAATTCTGCTTCCCAAATTCCTTCCGTAAGTCAGAATTTCTGGAAGGCCATAAATTTAACCTTGATCTTCAATTCAAAAATGACCTGTTATTTTTAAAGTTCAATATGCTTTTCTTACCAAATACCTTTCACAAATGGAGAGTAAAGTGAGGTCCAAACATTCAGTTGAGTTATAGTTTCTGTAAAATGTTCTGAATGTAACAGACAAGTCTCACCTTTGATCTTGTCACATCCCTTTTTTGTTTGACTGTTTCTATTGCATATACCTAGGATTTCTTCATTATATAAAGGCAATATAGCATTTCATCTCCAAAACTTTTCACTTTTCTGGAACGGTCAACTAGGAGATTTTCATTTTCAGCTGATAGTTTTGTGATAAGTTTAGCAATTTGTGTGAGTTTGATTGACTTGCTAGAACGTCACGATAATAATTATCTTGACATTGATAGGATCACGTAGTCTTTAAAACATAATTAAGTTGTCCTGCCTATATATAGAATGAATAATCTAATAATATTTTCCATGTTTTTCAGCTTGAAGAAATGCAACAGTTACGAAGTTGTAACAGGCAGCTTCAGATAGACATAGATTGCCTAACCAAAGAGATCGATCTTTTTCAAGCAAGAGGTACTGTAGCATCACGTTGAATAATTTCCCTCCATTCAACTTCAAGAATTTTAATATTATATGTTATGAATATATGTGATAATTAATTTGTTCACATCTTATTAGCAGTAGATAACAAAAAGTGCCCAACCAATTTCCTCCCCTGTTTGGAAGTGGGGAGCAAACTAGATTGATTTATTGTTTGTAAGTTACCAAGTGTGTCTATTTGCGTATAAAGAGGAAAGTAAATTAAGTACTCTACAAATAAAAATGTGTTTTAGATAACAGCATCACAATCAGGAGTGACCAACAGAACAGCATCCAAGGCAGGAATGTGCACATGAGTAGTTTAACAAAGTAGGACTGTTCAGTTTCTTGGCTGCTCATTCCCTGACATTAGGTGGCCTAAAGACAATCAAAAGATGCCCTGAATTGAGAGAAATTCCCTTTGGATCCTCCATCCTTATACTTTGCAGAAGATTGAAGGCTCTTTGCCCAACACCTTTCAATTTGTGTGTAGTTAGATTCTCAAAATAAACAGCCATATATAAACTAATATTTATTTCTTTTTAATATCATATTAACTTGAGTTTAACCCCTTTTTTGGCTAAATTTCATTGCTAAAAATCGAGGTGCACATTAGATTCAGTGGTGCATTAGAATTGCACACTTAAAACCATCTGTTGAGCAAATTCACAACTAGGGACAGAGAAAGGAGAGGCAGCTGGTGAAAAGGCTGGTGGTGGTGAGGGGGCGTTTTTCCACCAGCTTTTTTGCGACCACCACTGCCTTGCATTACATTAAATGGCAAATCTTTTCTTCTTCTTCTGTTTGTAATGCACACCTTCAAAACTGAGGTGCACATTGCATTTGATGGTGCATTATACTCGAGTAAAGAGGTATGTTCAATACGTTTAGGTACACTCTCCTTAGAAATACAGCTTAAAAACATGGAGGCACATTTCATGTATGTATTTTATGATGCTCTAGTGCAGTGGTTATCAACCTGTGGGTCCCCAGGGGTTTTGCTTTACAGCGCTCTGAAATCCCAGCCAGTTTACCAGCCGTTAGGATTTCTGGGAGTTGAAGGCCAAAACACCTGGGGACCCACAGGTTGAAAACCACTGCTCTAGTGCATGCAAAACATTTCAACTTATTTCTGTTATAAAAACTAAAGCTGTAGAGCTGTGCTTAAAAGTATGCTGGATATAAAACAAATTGAAGTAATCTGTTTTCCACTTACTTTCTGTTTACTTGTTCACACGTGCTATGTAAAGGATTTTGGAGACAGCTGTTGTTTATCTTGTCTGTTACATAAATATACATATGGCCACAATAGGGTCAGTTAGAGTAGTATCCAATTCTTTCTCAAATGAAGCTTCACTGCATTGTTTATTACTGACACTATTCCGCAACTTTACACTAAAAACCTGTGCTTCTTCAGGCTTCCTCTGCCATCCTCCCAATGCCGATCTTTCTAAAAAGCTTTCTCCTAGACAGAGTACAAGGGGAAAGGGGGAGCCGTGGAGATATTTAAAAAATAGTAAAAAGAGGCATCTTTGTTAGAGACTTTATTAACTGAAGAATGCTTGTCATATACTTCCTATTTAATAATTTTGCAGTAAATAGGAAGTTTTTATTCTCCAGAGTTATATCTAGTTCTAGAATCAATATAGAAAAAAATGTAAACATTTTACAAAATTACATACTTAAAGTTTTTTCTCTGTTTCAAAAAGAAATTGTGGTGGGAAAGTTCCAGCAAATCTTACTGCTGTTTGCAATTTAGGAGGGGGGAGGTTTCTTATTTTATTTTTGTCGCAGCCAATGTAATGTTTGATATGAAAAATGTTCCATACCATCAACCCAAGAGACATCAAATAATGGAAGTTCCATTTCTATTTAATAGTCTTTTGTTTGTGGTAACATTGGTATTTGTTATGGCCAGGAAGTATTTTGCATTTAATGAATTTTCATGTAATTTGTTTTGATTTAATTGGTTTATACTCTACCTTGTGTTTTTTCACTCTGGTTATTTGAACAGAGCACACATAATTCTATACATTCAAAGACTTGTTTATACGGGAAATTTTTAGATCCTACCATACATGAGTGTTTTCATTGGGGTTTGAAAATCTCCTACAATTCAAGCCGTGTAAGTGTTTATATGTTAGTGCAAGAGTGTTAAATGTTAACAAAACAAGATTAGGCACTTTTTGTAGGCCTACCATTTGTTGGCCTACCATCAGAGCCTCTTTGTCCATCCCAAGAGATTCAACGCCTGCTCTCTTGTTAAGAGATTCTGCAGTACTGTAAGAGAGTCCACAGTTGAGAACCTGAACTAAGTTTTAATATGAAGTTGCTACAACCTCCGTTCCTTAAGGTTTTTTTATTATTATTATCTTCAGCTCTCTCTTCCTTCCATATATTTTCAGGTAGACAGTATTATACATGGTATGGAGGTGAACCCATAAATGGATGTATAAAATTGCTAGATCTCATTTGGTATCTTTGAGTAATTTCTGGTAATTGTTCCTCCATTAACATCTAGATGTACACATCATCTAGAACTTCAGTTTTAACTACCTTTTTGTATTAACTTTTTCTTTCATTGAGCTGTACGTTTCCTTTTTTTTTCCAGGACCACATTTTAATCCCAGTGCCATTCATAATTTTTATGATAATATTGGATTTGTAGGTCCTGTGGCACCAAAGCCCAAAGGTAAAATGACTAAAGTTTTCTACCAAAGTTAATTTACATGTCATATAAAAACTGGTATTTTGTTGCATTTACTTTAATATATTTAGTTTGTCATAAAATTGCTGAGGATCTGTAGCATACAGGTAACCAGGTGATAGTTTCTGTTTATTATGAGCATTTGTTTTCCCTGTCACCTCTGAGAAGGAGTTGTTTTCTTTATTCATGGTAAGTCACTAAATTTCAAGTACAGAGATCAAGGGTTTATCTAAACTAACTATAGAAGAGGACAGTGTGATTTTTGTCATTGAATTACTTCATTTTAGAATATGCAGCGGTGGCAAGAATTAATTTAAGACATGCCAGATTTCATTGCATAATAATCACATTTTTATGCAACTATTACATGAAGAAAAAAAATGATTCTCCTGTTTCTTTTCTTAAAAAAAAGAACTAACTGTGTTACCTCCAAACAGGAGGAGGAGGAGGGACGATCCAGTCTAAGAACAAACAGCCTTGTCTTGAACAGAGGAGGAAAGAAGATTCCCTTTCCCTTCTTTTTCTCTCTGAAGGCAAGACAGTTTAAAAAAATCTGAAATTGAGCTCTTTGGAGAAAGGAGAGAAGAGCGGAGCTCCAGAGAACTCCATTTCATAGTTTTTAAACTGCCTTGCCTTGAGAGCAGGCAGGAAAGAGGAATCAGCCCCAAATGGTTCTGCGACAATTGTGCAAGGAACACAAAAATACCAATTTGGGGGTGCAACTTCTATGCAGTGGTGACTATTATGCGATGAAATACAATAGTAATGCTTCATGCTGAAGTAGAAACAAGTGCATAGAATTGTTCCTACTGCTTATATTTAATGAGTGTTCTTTTTCACCCCAGCAGATCAAAGATCCAGCGTCAAAACACCAAAGACTGTGCCCGATACGGAGGAAGATGAGGGTGCGCAGTGGAATTGTACCGCTTGTACTTTTTTAAATCACCCAGCCTTAAACCGTTGTGAACAGTGTGAAATGCCCCGGCATTTCTGAGCCTGGGAGGCTCACTTATCTTCTGTAAATCCAACCTTTGACTATTGAGTCATTTCCTTGGGATAAATAATCATTTTATGCATAGAATTTTGTAAAATTGACCATGTGACAAGGTTTATTACTAATATTAAATTTCATGCTACAGAGATAATACCTCAGTGTTGTGCTGCAGGCAGCTGAAATTCATTCGCTGGAAGCCTGAAAGACTTGGTGGCCAGCTGCCTGATGAATCATGTACAGTATTACCAGAAGCCTAGTAAGAATAACTCGTGCCATGTTCATGCTCGGGTAGCCCCCAACCGCCTTTCTCCACAGAAGTCGCTACTGAATTTTGACAGAGGAAGGAATTAGATTGATAGCTTTTGTTGTGTTTTGGAAAGCTTTCAGTGAAACACTACATTCATCAAGGAAATGGAAAGGAACAAGTTGAAAGTGTTTTGCCTTTGTTTGTTGCCACCCAGGTCCTGTGGATTTGTAGGAGAACTTCACACATTAGTGGTACTCTTTGCCTTGTCTTCCCAAGAAACAGCTCTGCTGACACAAATCAGTACATTTGTTTGATGATGAGGGGGGGAGGGGGGAAGAAAACTGCATGCTTTGTCTGTACAATACTCACAGTGAAATACCCTGAAAGCTTTTCCTACTGTACATAGCTCTAGCGCCTGCTTTAAGTGACTTACTTTTCTTCACCTTTTATTATTTCTTGTACTTCTTAATGTATAGTGTAATAGTCTTCGTTAACTTTCTTTTTCCTTTTAAGTGATTATGTCTGATCATGACCCCTTTTTTTTAAAAAAAGCTGTAGTTCTAAGAGAAGCAGTGCCTTAAAATAAGAGCATTAATGATGAAACAGTGCACAAAATAGCTGTTCCACTGCCTTTTCTGTTTATTGCTCTTGTGATTGCTGATCATCTGTGGAGACCTGCAGATGCAGCATAGTAAAAAATGCAGGAAAAGTTGGCATTTATACATATAATTCACTCTGTGCACTGATTTTTACGGTGGGTGACACAATGTGATATTTGGTCTGGAACACGGAAACTAGATAAATTCAACCCACCAACAGATCTGCACCTGGATATACTTGCTTCATTTGCACAGCTCTTCAGAAGCAAATGACTTGGGAAGTACAGACAGTACAAAGAATAGCAGCAGCAGTAGCATAAAACAACAGTGCTATAAATAACTTGGCAGCCAGATTCTAAACCTGATTTGGTGGAGAATAGCAATAATTAAGGCAGACTGAAAAGGTTGGGAAAGAGAAACCAAACAAACTTGAACACTGAATCAATGCCAAACATCTCTTTATTTCCTAGGGCTCTTGTGTTTTAAAGGAAAACGTTTAAGTGACCAGAAATACCTATCGCTGAAACTAAGAACATAGTTTTATTTTTTTTATATGCTCTCTTGCATACTTATACAAATAACGAGGTATCTGTTGAGATGAGTCAGGAGGATGTGGTTAGCGGCCCAATCCTGTACTTACCAACTCAGAAGTAAAATCCATTGCTTAGTCCTATATAAGCAAATAGAGGGTTACAACCTAAATGTAGCAAGAGACAAAGTAGGCTGTCACCCACTGTAAATATTTGCCAGTGTGGATATTTTTTTAACAAGAATTTTACAAGTGATCTATGAATACTCAAAGCCTTCGTTTTAAAGGTTTTGCATTTCTATTTTTAAAAAATACATGATAATTAAAATAATCCCAAGTAATTAGTCATTAGACTCAAAGTACTTGCATTGAATGCATTGTGTTTATTAAAAAAAAGAAGAAGCGTTTTTTTTAGCTTCATCTGCAGTTCTCTGTGAAGATTGACAAATCAATTTTTACCTGTTTTATTAATAAAACCTAATTTGGATATCTTGAGTTGATGGTTTTGTGATTTTAGCTGGGTAAACTGTCTTTGTAACAGATAAGTTATTTATAAAAATTAAAAAAAATATTGTAACATTTGGTTCTGTGTGTTTTTAACTTTCTATCCAGCTATCTGTTCAGCCAAGTTGTAATTGAATAATGTTAAATTAGTCAATCATGTTGGTTAAGCAAACTGGCCTCAGTATATTGAAGTCTGAGGTAAACTTTCAATATTCTTCTGAGTGGAGGCCTGCATAGCCAACTATGTTTTCTGCCCCCTTCCCCAGTAATCCACTAATATAATAAGTTTTCCTATAGATTTTAGTTAAAATTGACATTTAACATTAAAATGTAGAATAGTACCAATATATTGTTTCAGATCACTACTTTCATAGGGCTTGTGCTTTCTAGAGGAGCTGTTCAATTCTGAACACAATACTGTATTTCACCAAATGCAGGCTGCCATTAAATCTAAGATAAAGCCTCTTTTGAAGCTTCGGTTTTTTGGTGGGAAATTCTTAGAATTTATTTTAATTTTCTCTACATGCACAGCACTAGGTTTAGTTTCAGTAAGACTTTGTTGTGCAGTCTTTCCTGTGGTGTGAGGGAGGAGTATGAAGAAACCTGGAAGTCAACTTGTCTGCATGAGTCTTTTTTACTGGTTCTATGGATCCACTGGGAAAGCTGGGAAAGCGAGGTGCAGCACCTAGCTTGGCCAGACTGGTAAATAAGACAAAAAGATTGGGGCTGGAAGCCTTCCTCTCCCTTCTCCTCCTCAACTCTCAGAATATTACAAAATCAGTAAATCAAATGCATCTTTGAATTTAAGACACACCCCATTTGTGAAGTCAAAACATGAGAAAGCAGCACCTTAGATTCAGTGAAATATGGTAATTTCATGCTTGCCTTGATTTACCAGTTCTTATAAGAATCAGCACTATGTAGGTGGATAATTAAGAAGGATCCAAATGTTATGTTACAGAGCAAGTAAGGATTGTAATAGGTCAAGATCAGTGCTAAGGAATCACACAGGTCTATTATTTATTTATTTGTTCATTTATTTATTGTATTTGTATACTGCCCTTCTCAGCCCTCAGGCGACTCAGGGCGGTTTACAGAGGCAACAATTCAATGCCCAACAACATTATAAAACATTTAAAACTATTAACACATAATGTAAAACCATAACCAGAGCAATACAAACATAAATCATTTGTGTCTCCTAATTAAAAACGTTGCCTACCATTTATGCACTGGAGCTAACATCCCTACTTTTACTTAGGTTCCTTTTCATCTAAATAGAAGTTTACCCTCTGCTGCCACAATTTCTGAAACAATATGTTTCTGAATCACAAATCTAGTATTTGGAATTGACTGACATCCTTCTTGAATGAACTGATTCTTTATGTAGAGTTCTCATTCCTTACTTCAGTTCATTATAGATAATTTTGGCAAACATTTCGACCTTCGGGATTTTTTCCGTCACCAGATTTTCATGATCTCTCAAATTCAAATGTAAGGATCATTTATAAAAGAAAGAGATGATTGCTGATTCAACACAATGTCCTGCCATAGAACATTCCTCATAAATATTGACTTGGCCTTAATCTTGGAAAGTGAAGGAGGGTGTTCCATAATCTCCTTATGCAATGTGTTCTACTACAAACAGCTCAGGTCCACGCTATTTGGTTGATTATATCTCCATGTATACACCTGCCTGGCCCTGAGATTCTGAGGAGAGGCCTTCTCTCAGTTCTGTCACCATTGCAAACACAGTTGGTGCAGATGTGAGAGAGAGCTTTCTCGGTGACTGCCTCTTGACTGGAACTTACCACCCAGAGAAGTCCTCCCTGCTGCCCTTCCAGCGTCAGGCTGAGACCTTTAAGATTGAGCCACAGGGTGCTGTGTTTTGTGTAATTTGTTAGATTTGTGTAATGGTTTTATTGCTTTTAACTATGTGTTTTTAATATTTCTATGTTTAATTCTATTTTAGTGTTTATATGCTTCAGATTTTAAATTGTACACTGTATTGTTTTTAGTGTTAGCTGCTTTGGGTTTCCTTTTAGAGAAAAAATGATGATAATGGTAATAATAATAATAATAATAATAATAATAATAGCAGCAGCAGCAGTGGTAGAATGTTTCTCTTTTAAGGTATGTTTTTATAAATTGTTTGGGTTTTTGTCATTGTAAAACTATGCTGCACGTGTCCCATTTCTTTTTTAAAGCATCCATATCTTTCCCCTGCTATTTCAATATATCATCTCCAGACTATATTTTTTAATTATCTAATACAAAGCTTCTTAAACTTTCCACTCAGGATCCCTTTTGGCCTGAGAAATTTTTATGTGAACCTAGATATGGAGGTATAGAAATTGAACATTCACTGATAATAAATTAGCATTTGCAAGGTTTGCTAAACAGACTGAATTTCTTTTTTACAAACAGCTGAAGCATATGTATTGTCGAAGGCTTTCATGGCCAGAATCACTGGGTTGTTGTAAGTTTTTTGGACTGTATGGCCATGAAACTTCAGGAGAAAATGCTTCTGGAACATGGCCATACAGCCCAAAAAACTTACAACAACCCAGCTGAAGCATATCCTGTAGAGTCCACTGTAAACATTGCACAGTGGATTCATGTGAATGTCTAAAAGAGCCATTAGGTGATGTTCTGAATTTTTGGGGGGTCCCCAACATTGAGCTAAGGGGACCTCATTTGGGGTCAAGACCCACAGTTTAAGAAGCCCTGATCTAGTATAGTATCCAAACTATTAAATTAGTAACAACATCTTCACACAAAAAAACCTCTCTCTTTGTTATAGTTCTTGTGAAAAGTTCTGCCTTATTTATTCTTCATTTCAGGACTTTAATGAATTTTTTATTCTTCCAGTGGTTCCCAACCTGTGGTCCATGGACCACCAGTCGTCCTCAAGAACTAAAATATGGTGCATGGCCTCACTGTTGCTATACTGTTGCAATGAGAGTGACTGGTCTTGCTAAACCCTCTAATAGTGCCGAGGCTTATTAAATATGGTTTTCTGTGGGCGAGCAGATGTGACTACTGGATGGCATATGTTCTGTATCAGAAACTAAAGCTGGTGTGGTCTATCCAATGCAATTTTCTGAATCAGAACCCCAAAAAAACAAACTAAATCTAAAGTTGAACAAAAACCGCTTTGTAACCTTTTTGGTACCACTAGTCAAAGTTGTCCCTGGTCAATGGTCCCTGGTCAAAAAATGGTTGGGAACCACTGTGTAGACGATAATTTTATATTTATTTAAATCATCTCTCTTTTTCAATACATTCCATAACCTCTGTAGTATCAGAGGCCACTTGAACCAGTGTTGTCACAGCTATAGATTTAGAAGTATACCCAAAAATTAAAACAATAAGTAGCAAAATGCTAATATGAATTGCTGTATTAAAAGGACACAATCTGAGTATATATCACAGTTGCTGTGTGTTATTTGCTCCTTCCAAGCAGCTATAAGTAAGTAAACTTTATTAAGGTTGATGACCAGATCAAGCAGCTATATTTTGGTATTAAAATCTAGTATTTTATTGTAGTATCACCTGTACTTGGGAAGGAAATGTTTGAAATCTCAAATTGGTCTATAATGGGTTTTTAAAATGGAAGACTAGAATGTGTGCTCTAGAAATTAACAAGGATTTCATTAGTAACTGGGAAGAGGAGAAGACATTAGGTTTTTTTTTTCTTCCAAATTGATTGCAGGAAGTTTGTGTGTGTCCTGTTGACTTATGGTTATCTCTTGAATTTCATAGGTTTTCCAGACACAAGGAATACTCAGGTGTTTTTGCCAGTTTCTTCCTCTGAAGTATAGCCTACGGCACCTGAGCTTACCACCTCTTAAATAAGCTATAAGCCTTAACATGTCTTGTAAACAGTAGAAACAGCACACTTTACAGCTAAACTCAGTGCAAACAGCAGTCATGTTGAACAGATTTCAATACCAAATTACAAAGCACTCTAAACATAACAGATGGACAAGCCTTTGGCCCATAGATGATCTTCTACCCTGGCCTTGCTTTTTCCTGTGATTGAGTTGTTTTTACATTTACCTAGGCAAAAGTACTATATTATGGGCATGTCTCCATAATTACTTGCCTGTGTAAAATAAGATTTTATATATATACTGTAAGCCTTCAGGGCAGTGGTTTTCCTTGTGTGATGTTAGCCCACACCTGTCAAAACTGGTTAGGTCCTACTTGTTATTACTGCTAGCACAGAGCTGATTTCCCATCATTTTCTAGTACTGACTACAGAAGCTCCACAAAGCAACATACTGTGTACCACATCTGTGCCCCCTATGCCAGTGGTTCTCAAATTGGTCCTCCAGATATTTTGGACCTCATCAGCAAAATGTCCCAGGCAATACAGCTAATTACTGGGACTTTTTAGAGCTGAAATCCAAATACCTGTTCAACAAAGACCTTGAGAATCAGTAACCTGCTTGGATTCTGTTGTCACTAATTCTGAAACAAAAGCATTGATGACACTGTTAATGCATCTGGCACACAATAATATTTCTTTGAATAAAACCTGCATTTATGCTGACTGTTAATGCTAAAGATCTGGAATTTGTGAAGACAAATTTGGTTTAGGTCTTTCATAACCATATTTATTATACTTTGAAAGTCTGGAATCTTCCTTGACTGTATAGAGCACTGTAGACACTTCCAAGCATCTTTGTATTATGTAGAATCTGAGATGCCACTTTGAAGAGTTGGGTGATCCCATATTTGAACCAGTCATTGGTGATGTGCAAACAGATTGCAAAATTTTGGTGAGGATTGCAAAAACCAAGCCACCACTCACTATGGTCATTCATATTGATGCCAAGTGTTTCAGACTAAACTAAGGAAGAACCTGAAGTTTTGTGGTTCTGGGTAGGCGGCTGAGTGAGTCTTCAGAAGAAGATATACTCCACCCCAGATTAAGAAGAAATACAGTGTCCCAGCTCATAGAAACTAGAGAAATGGGGGCATTGTAGGGAAATCGCTGTGCCCACCCAGGAAAACTGATCTGGATCTCGGAGGCAGACATAAAATTGGATCATAATTATCTGCTCT